TTAGGGCTGTTGTACATAGGGTCACTATGAGTCGCAAACGACTCGACGGCACATAACAATAACAACAACAACATATACCAAGCGATGGAATAGCTGGGCCATATGGAATTTCTGTGTTCAGCTTTTTGAGGAAGTGCCAAAATGCCTTCCAGAATGGTTGTACTATTGTACAATCCCATCCACAATGTAAAAAGAGTTCCTATCTCACCAAGAGTTTTTTGTGTTACATCATTTTAGAGGTTGGATCCTAGAAAAGAAGGAAACTAACATTAATTGACAAACTCCTATGTAGCTGTCCTTTTGCTTATTAGATAATTCCATGTACACCAACTAGTTTAATCCTTATAACAATTGTATTAAATAGGCCTTATTACCTCTATCACATATGAGAAAACGGAGCTAGATAATGTGCCTGAAGTCATGTAGCTCCTGAGTGATGCATCAAGCTAGCATTGTAATTCAGATTTCCTTCTACATTTCAAGTGCCCAACAATCTGGGTGGGTTCATGGGGCACCACCTTCAGTCTTCTCTATCTCTTGCACCTGGATGCCAAAATATGACAAATTGCAGTGTGAATTATTCTACCTTTCTATACCAGAGAGTAGATCCTCAAATATCTTAGTTATAAACTTATAATTTTATGTGTTGTGCATATTATGGGCTTCTTTTTTCTTATATGCCTGTAGATATGAAAAACTAATGACTTCCCCCCCCTCCTCTCTTACAGCAATGGTGAACTAGACCCATGGTCTGGAGGTGGAGTGACCAAGAATATCACAGATTCTTTGATTGTTATCAATATCCCAGATGGTGCTCATCACTTAGATCTCCGAGCCAGAAACGCCTTAGATCCCGAGACTGTGCAGTTAGCCCGTGCCTCGGAAGTTAAATACATGAAGCAGTGGGTCAGAGATTTCTATGCCTTTGGAGGAAAAGCAAAACCAAACAACTTTTGATGATTTCCAGTTTCTTATGTTTACTTCAGTCCCATTCCTGTTCACCTTGGTTTTCTACTTGTAATTATCCCCCTCTTTGATCATTACATTCGATGGAGGGAAGGTTGAGACAGAAGAGGGGGTGATGGCAGTGAGAACAGCTTTCCCAGGAGTGTATTTCCCAGCCCCTTTATACCACTTCAGAAAGAAGACTCTTTTTGTGACCACTCATACACATTAGGAGCCTTCATAATTGGAGCCGAGCTCCGACTGCCTTTGACAAGGAAAGTCAATCCCTTTGTGTCTCTGCAAGCAGTGATTTCTCCTTGGTTTTGAGGTTGAAGTCTCTTTGGACCCATTTGTCACTCCTCACCCTTACTCCCCAAAAGAGGAAAAGCAGAAGATAGATTGAAATGATGTAATTGCAGCTGGTAATGTATCCGATGCCAATCCAGGAAATGGGAACCCTTTCTTTTGTACTTGATTTATTGACTATGAACTGTGCTGTAAATAAAGAATAAGGCTGGACCTTATACCTGTGTGTTGCTTTTAAATCTTACTCCAGCTGTTAGGAATGCTGTGCACACTGCTTGGCAGTTTTTGGAGTCCTTTAATTTCTTCTCTTCCACTTGGCAGCTTTTCTTAGTTCTGGGATATTTGCCACTGTGGTGCTGCCAGGGAGAAATGTGGCCTTTTTCTGCTCCATTTCTTTTTGTTTCTAGGGTCAGTTTTGTGATAGTTTGGCTACATTCTGCCAGTTTAGGAAAATGACTGTTTCGCTTCTCCATTTACATCTGAGCAAGCATTTACATACTGCCGTCACTGACAAGGGTTCAGCAAGAAACTTTAAAAAATTTACAAATCAACTATTCAGGAGATAGAATACAGTTAGGTCCAGAATTTATATTCTCTTATTTTTGGAGGTTGTTGCTGTTGCCATTAAAGAAGTCAGCATTAGGACACTAGAAGCAGGTGCACAGAACTTTTCTATATGGCTTCCAAAAAGACAGGCTGACTAATTCATGCAGGCAGCATATTTGACATTAATAAATGGCTCAGCCGTTCCTATTTCCAAGGGTTTGGCTTCTTTCAGACACTTCTTACACTGAAACCTTTCTTCAGAAGGGCCTTTCGAGGATAACAAATAGGGTTGGATCAAAACCTTTCAAGGACACAGAGACGAACAGTTTCTACTCTGTTGAAAGATTTCTTCCCCCTTTTTATTTTCTCTCAGTAAGGGTTTCCCCTTTCTCTGCCTTCGAAACATATTCTGTTTTTCCTTCTTTTAAAAAAATTATACCTTAAGTTCAATTATTTTTAAAACATTTTTTTAAATGAGACATTTGGATGATTGTTGGGTGGGAGATTGAAATATTTTCCTTATTCGGAAAAACGTTTCCTTTGGGAAATTGTAGGAGAAATAGAAAAATCTTGGTCTTGTTTTGGAAGACTTCAGTTCTCATTGTAATGAGTTGTCCATCAAAGGCTTTGGTTAGTATTTTCATTTTAACATTACAGAAGAGTTTGTGGAGATGAGAACTTAAAAGTCAAAACAACATTAGTTTTGTTCTTTGTTAATTAAGAAGTTATATATTGTGATGGTATGGGCTCAATAGAAGATATTCTTACTATTTATTTTAGGATATTTTCCTTAATCTTGCTTAAAGTCTTGAAAATGTATTGCCATTTTATACAATAGTGATTGTTAAGATGAGTAACATTTTAATGAAGAAAAGGAAAAATGGAAAAGAATTTTTTTGTAAACACAATGTAGTTCTTTGTACGTTTATTTCTGTGTTTATTTTATCACAGAAGTGACTGTTACTAGAATTAGCCTAATTGTATTATGCTGAAAATATAATTTTATGTTGGAAAATTAGAATATAAAATAAGTCTTATTACTAAAGCATCTCTCTGCAGTGCTTTCACATATAGAAAGGGAGAGAGATTACATTCCTTCCACCATGTTTTTTATTTTTTTGTTACTTACCTGCCTGCAGCCAGAACTAAACGAACAGGCATATCTTCCTGAGGGGCAATGTGGTGCCAAGAGCTAATTCAGAGAAACTAATTAGCATATTAAAGTATGATAGCCCCCTCAAATCTGGTCTAACCCTATCATTTTGTGATGGAATTAGTGCCCAGAAAATAATGTAGTGAAAATATGCAAGAAGAGGTCTGGGTCTTGGGTAATTAGGAATCATGAACAACTGGGATCTGGAAAGTTATTAAAAGTCAAGATTCTGCTTTCAATAGAGGTCACCAGCTGTCAGCCTGTGGGTTTGAGTAGGTTCTCAGGTGGTTATGATTAGCTAGCAGTGTTAGAAGTGTGCTTCAAAAGTACCTGGAAGGCTTGCTGCATACAATACTGATTGTTATTCTCAGAATTGCATTTTTAACAACTTAACCAGATGATACGGAAAAATCATCCTGAGAAGCAATAGTTTAAAGAATTCTGATTCTTAATTGTTTATAGAAAAGGCTTGTTTCTTAGATTGACTCCACACCTTTTGTCCTAATTCTGAGTATAGGTGTTATCATTATTATGTCCTGGAGTCAAAACTGGCTGACTTTCCAGTGGGTTTTTAAAGGCTGTAAACCACACTTTGGAAGAGAGTGCTTATCTTTTTCACAGGGAGGCTGGTGGACTCAAACAGCCTGCCTTTGGGTTGGCAGTCCAGATTCTTATCACTGGGCTACCAGTGTTCCCTCACAATCCTTTTAGATATTTTATATCCCTAAGTATAAGCAGTATAGCACGGGTCTGTCCATTTGCTGTACAGAGGTAACTCGTGGTTCCTGTGATGCTAAACACTGTGACACATCTGTGACACAGATGTGCCAAATGCGATAATGGTTACCCATGGTGGACGGTGTTTGGTGGAACTTTCCAATTAAAATAAGCTTGGAAGCAGTAGTGGTATCCACTTCTGAAATAGCTTGCCTCTGGAAACTATGAACTTGGAGAAACGATGAAAGTTATAAAAGTGTTCAGGTCTTTCGTTCATAGGGTCGCTATGAGTCGTGTATGACTCAATGGCACTTAACAACAACAGCAATTATAATGTGATAAAACTAACACATCCAGAGGTCCCATTGATTTATTTGCCAGATTTAGCAAAAACTGATGGGATACCCATTTAAATTTTAGAGTAAGAGCCTTGCCTAAATCTTCTCTTTTTTGGTGACTGTAGTTTTTTCCCTTTTACTTGTATAAGACTCTCAATAACTTTTCAGAATGGCAAATTCTCCACTCACAAAGATATACATCTTAGGATAGGAAAAACTAAAGGCAATTCTAAATACATGTTTCTTGGACCACAGGTACCCAACAAAACACTTCGGAAGCCTGATGGAGGGTCACCATGAGTCAGAATTGACAATGGAGTTTACTTATTTTTTTTAGGTTTATTAGTGGGAATCTTTTTCTCATAGCTAACCCTTCAGCAGGTTTGAAAGTCTCTAAATTGCATGGGAGGAGATTGTCCAACTTTATCCTTTGGAGCTGCCGGTAGATTGTCATTGTCAGAAAGGTTCAGCCTTTGGGTTAACAGTACAACTGCCTATGGACTACTATGTCACCAGAGCTCTCTAGCAGTAGGAATGAGGTGATAAACATTTACAGTAGAAGAACTGGAAAGCAATCTTGGGATCATTGGCTGTGTATGTTTAACATATTAGAAACTTTGGGCTGGGGAGGGAAAATTATTTGCCCAAGAGTAACGTGTTTATTTATTACTATGAATTTCATTATTTGTAGCTCATTTTTTTCTGAAAAAAATTCAAATGACTTAAAGATATACATTAAAAACATAGTAAGTAGGAAAGAGATTTAAAAATAAATCTGGATGAACAAACCACAAATAAGCTTTTATCAAGTGAACTCACCTGAATACTAATAATAACCAGGTGTTACATGAAAAAGCCCGAGATTAAAAAAACAACACTTGAACATAGTTAAATAAAAGTCAAATGAATTCTCTTTCTTGTAGAATCTCTCTCTTTTTTTGTATATCATGTACACCATGAATTACCAATTATGCAACATTTTCCAGATTCTAGAATAATTTTTCTTGGAATATTTGAGGATCTAGTGCTCTGACTGAAGTACTTAGTGAAGAAGATGAAAGACTAAAACCTTCTTTATGGATTGCATCTCAAGATCAAGAAAAGAAAATTCTCACTGTTGAACCATGAGGCAATATGATAGATGGATGAAAGATTGAAGTTGTCAACAATTCCATTTCACGTGGATCCACAATCAATTCCCATGGTAACAGCAGTCAAGAAATCAAAAGAGGTGTGTTGCATTAGGGAAATTTGCTCTCAAGGACCTCTTTGAAGTGATAAAGAGCAATGATGTCAGTTTAAAGGTGAAGGTGCACCTGATATAAGCCATGATATTTTCTATTGCTTCCTAGGCAGCTGAAAGTTTGACAGTGAATAAGGAAGACCAATGAAAAATTGATGCTTTTGAATTATGGTTTTGGAGAAGACTTTCATGGACTTTTAAAGACAAATCTGTCTTGGAGGAAGTTCAGTCAAGGTGCTCCTTACAGGCAAGAATGGTGAAATTTGGTTTCAAGTACTTTGGGCATATTGTGAGGAAATACCAGTACTTGGGAAAAGGTATCATGCTGGGAAAGGGAGAGGGTCAGCAAAAGAAGGAGACCCTTAACGAGATGGATTGACACAGTCACAGCAACAATGGGCATGGTAGATGTAGTGAGGATGACACAGATAGGCAAGGTTTAGATCTGTTGTTCACCAGGCACTATAGTGTAGTGGGATGTTTTGTGTTAGTTGAGGGTCATGTGTGGACTGTTTGATTGTTTTTTTATTTCTTTCAGAATTGTGTGTCAGCTCATTGGCTTTGCAGGATTTAGCTAACAATGAGCTGTGGGCAGGAAGCCACTTGTTTAGAGTCAACAGGACCTGGTGTAGGGGCTTGGTACTTAAGAGTGGGTTGGACCCTCAGGCCTTGGGCCTGGTGTTAATTGTGTTTGAGGCTATCATTCTTC